CCCTCGTAACTCAGAATTGGTGTAAAAATAATTTACCAAACTTTATTTCCAAAGAAGAATGGCCTGGCAATTCCCCGGACCTAAACTGCATAGAAAATCTCTGGAGTATCCTGGACAGTGAGGCCTACAAGGATCCGCGCCCAACGTCTTTGATCCAATTACGTCGCCGCCTTCAACATGCATGGAGGGAAATACCTCAGAAACATTTGATTTCATTAATTCATTCAATGCCAAATAGAATTAAAAATGTACTGAAAAACAAAGGTGGACTGTCTGGTTATTGAAAATGAAAAAAAAATACACATGAGTTGTTTTTTGATAAATTTAGGCCTATTGCAAATCACGGAACAAACTGTCTTAACACCCTTTACATATACGTATTTATTAAATAACAAATCAAAGATGATCAAACAAGTATATTTTGAATTCAGTTTAATATATTTAATAGATCCAATAATAGGTTACCCTCTTCAAACATGTTTTAAGCAGAATTAACCATGTGATTGTCAAAACATCTTTAAAAAAACATGAACCGCATGCATCCCACTGCGAGATATTGGGATTGGGATTTGAAATTATGAACAATTGGAAAACTTCAGCTTAATTTTTGTAAACTTATACTTAATAAAAGACATCTTCTCCAAATAATATGGTCATTGGTCTATGGTGAGCTTTCTAGATATCCGCCAAATATAAATATTTAATGAGAATAATAATGATTCTGGAGACAAATTGTGTCATATTTTATAATTTTTATACTGCTCATCAATGGACAGGACTGTTAATTGAAGTTTTTAATAGATTGAGCGTTTACAAAGTATTTCATTAGAATAAGGTTTGAATTTTTACTGGATGACGCAAAATGTTAAAAATTAGAAAAATGGTTGTCGAATGTAATAAAGCAAGTGTTAATTAACCAATCCCGACAAAAAATGTGATAGATCATGTAAAAGTAAAATCTATAAATTGTTTACTAATAGTACTTCTACATCTAGATATCATTTAATATTAATGGGTATCAACGAATATTACATTAGCAAAATTCAGAACTATTAACTATACATTATGTATACCAATAGAGCAATGTACATTTAAATCCAAGTCTCTGTTCTTTGTGTAATAATGATACTGGAGTCAAATATCATTATATATAAATACCATTATATTATGTCATGTCCAGCTTTAGATGACTTTAAAAAATTATATATTACATCAACATACTGGTATTCAAATCTATCAAGTGGTTTTTTTTTTTAAGTTTTCTTTTTTATTTTCCTTTCAAAACAGTACCCGTTATCAATTGTGAATTCATTAATATAGAGTTACACATTCAGGTTTATGTATGTTATACACATCGTAATGCTTTTTAAGTTCTTACAATGATGTAATTCAAAGATCAAAAATCAATTTATTAAACTGCAAAAAATTATTATTTATACTTGAGAAAGTTGGTTTTCTTGGTTTATGATACTTTAGTTTCTCATTTCTTTATTTTTCTCACGCATAATGTACATAAAATATTTCGAAATAATGAACAGAATTTAAGATCAGAAATTCATTATAGCAATACTTAATAGGAGCAGAGAAAACATGGACCTCCAAAACATCAGAGGTTGGATCAGGTACCATGAAAGAGTGAGCATCCCCTGTCGACCGGTCTCACCCGCCATGCCTGCGTCAATTCAGTGTACCGAAAAATCCGTCGTTAATTCAGAGTAAAAAATTGACTAACAATTAGAATGAAAAATGTCAGTCAGCATTTGACTTAATGATAAACTGTGTTGCAAGGTCGTTGTATTGACCATAGACATTACCAAAAATATAAAGAAACCAAAGATGTTAAACGAGATTGCTTATATTTTTATTGTCAATAATGTACCTCGCTTCAGTAATTGTTAAGACACAGAGCATGCTCTTGTGTACCCAATCACTTGAGATATATATAAACTCCGTGTGCAGGTGATGAAGGTATATTGCTGCATGAGTAAGGGATTTTTTACGATAGAAAATTGAATATTTTTCATTTTTGTAATATCCTCTTTATACTGTTGTTACAGTTTATGAGAATAACTTTTGAACTGGACGATGCACAATAACTTTAATTACGAGCATATTAACTATTAATAAAGTTTTTTAATTTTCCATGGAATTTAGGTTTCCATCTAAAATGCAATCAATTTGACCATGGATTCCATCAGTGACCAGTGCGTTGCGTGGACGAGAAAAGTATCTGCAAGACAACATGCACTGCTATGTGATGGCTGCAATCGCTGGAAGCACAGGATATGTGATATAGGTAATTGAAATACGTTATATTGTGAAATATTCTATTTTATATTCGAAAGTAAAACAAATACATTGAGAATGATACATAGTGAAATCTGTATCACACATATCAACCTTAGACTCCAATATCAGCCCGAGGACCGAAGGCTATATGGCTGATATTGGTCGAGGGTTGATATGAATTGTGATATATATTCTGCCATGTATTGTTTTTTTTTTAATATATATTTAAAAATAGTTAGCATTGTGATGTTTAAGGCTCCTTGCATGTAAAAGATTCGAGGTTCTCCGTATGAAAAATACAGAGATGTTCCTAAAGGGTATAATAGTGGGTGAAATAAAGGGTGCTGATACAGGATGTGTAACACAGGGCAAGTTTTATTACATCCACCAAACCCAATTGTTCCAGTTAATTGATATGTCCAAAAGTTTCATTATCCAGTGGATAAAATTAAGTTTTCAATCACATTTGGACATTAAATGAGACAGAATATAATAAACACATGCTAACCTATGGATCGGTGTAAATGTGGTGTCATGTGTTCTTAAGGAATTTTTCTTAAATGTAAAATATGAATAATTTTTTTTTATATATAATAACCCAAATATGTGTGTAATAATTTATTGGTAAGTATTAAATATGTCGCATTTAAGTTTGTAAATAAAGTATTGAAATTAAACTTTTCTTTTAGGAATATCCCAGCGAGAGTACCTTTACATAATAATATCTGAAATAATTATTTATTTCAGATGCAGCACCTGTAAGATGCATGAGGAAGAAAAAAACATTTGGTACTTTCATTTAAATATCAGGTGTGAAATATTTTAACATTAAACTAAGAAGCTCAGATGTAATTTTTTTTTTAATTTAACTAAGTTTGAATTGAATATTTCTTTCAACTTAAAATTTCTTTTACATGTACTTCATTTTAATTGTTTTTTTATATTGTTTTGCAGAGGTCCAAAGATTTAACTTACACTGAGTCTCTGGATGCAAAACCTCAATATGGCTTGTTTGATGTTTCAGTGTTGACAACGGGGTGTCCGAATGAAACATACACCGTAGATACTTCAGAAAGAATGATAAAGTACATCATGTACATGTAGTAAATTAGTGAAGAATAATTGTATTTTTGTCTATATTTTTGTTTTTCTCTATATCTTACAAAAAGAGAAAGCATGTGTAATAATTAAAAATAAACACTAATTTTTTTAAAAAATCTTTATAATGCAAAAATTATTATCATTGATAATCATTGAATTTAAAAGTAAATCATGATTTCCTACATATGCTGAGTAATCAAATTTGAAAATCGCTGCACAGGGCCAATCAGTTGATCAGCCAGCCAATCTGGACCAGTCAGCATCAGGGGACCTGACCGCTAGCTTTGATGTGACAAAATCCAAGTAGCAGACCAGTCAGAAGACATGGAAGACTATGTATATCTTAAATGTTGGAAATGATTTTTTTAAAGCTAAGACAAATAATCATTTTTCTGAGCAAATTACTGAAAATTGATGACATTATTATTAATGTAAAATATTAGTAGTTGTGAAAAAATATTAATTTATCTTTCTTTTGTTTATAGACTTTTGTTTCTTTTGTTGTCTGCTAGAGCCAAATCTCTATGACACAATATTTGGAGGATTAATTGTTAATTTGTGAACATTTATTTTATTACATCTATTGTCCAACGTTGATTACATATAAAAACAATTATTAATTTCTTCAAATAACGCATCAATTTTATACATATAAGGTACATATGGCAATTCATTTGATGAAAAAAATGCTGATGAAATTCAGACGATAAAGGTTCCAGTCTACCATGCTCTGTTGAATGTGATGTACCATTCGAAGTATTTCAGAGGAGGGAATTTATTCTATTTTTTTTCCATCCAGAAGCATTCATGAAAAAACATTTGTATAACTCTTCAGATTAAAGCTTTTTTAAGGGAACAGTATGTGCAATAGTGATTGATGAAGTCCACATGATTTCCGAAAGGTACATTTTTCAAATATACACAGCAAAGTGTTCCATGCATGTTAAATTTTGCTATACTAGGTCTTGCATAAAAATATTTTAATATATTTTTTTCTCTTTTGACTTATCATAAAAGTAACATATCAAAACAAAATGGCATTCATCTTCTATTTTGTTCGATGTACAATATTATGCGTTTTCGTTCAATTGACGGGTAAGTCCGAAATAACTTATCGATTTTGATATTTAACATGCCAGGAATCACAACATGATGAGATACATGTCTCAAATGACACTGATATTTACAGAGACGCTTTTCACATCTTATCCTTTTTTAAAATGCATTATTTAAACTGCATTTTACTTAAGGAAAGGAAACTGAACATTTTGTCTTGAAAACATAAATAGGCAATCAAGTGTCACTAGTTATGAAGTTAATACACCAAACTCCTTTTAACTCGTGATTCTACCATTCTTCAGATATTTCTTCTGGTGTCATGTATGGATTTTATATTCTGCCTAAGAAAGAAAATAGTCTTAGAAAAAATGTATAATGATTACCTTTAAAAAAATTATATATGTACTTTTTAATCGATCAAAAAAAATAATTTAATGATTATTTATATCTACGAATGGTAAAAAATCGATAAAATATAATTTAGGCAAATAATTACATCATTTATTGAAGTTTTGTGAAGAAAATCTTTTTTTTTTAACAAAAACCTAATTTTACTCACTTTCTTTATTAATGTTGTCTATCTCTGGTATACTGGAAAGTAACTTGGAATACTTGGAAATATCCTCTGATGAAACATCATTTGCATTCGACTCTGATTTAGATCTGATACGTCTTCTACCATGAACATTTCTGAGTTCAATAGGTAAATCAGACTGTTTCCTATCCTTTAAGGAAATTAATTTTTGTTTTAATTTCATTTTTTTTTATTACATGAACATCTAACTTTTATTAAAAATTAAGATTCATTTCAAAGAAAAAAATGTACGTTACTTTTCTCTTGTTGTCAGATGTATTATTACACATTTGTTGTTCACGAATAACTGGCTTGTCAACTAGAAATCAGAAAAAAACATATTATTCTTTTTTGTATACAGTATCTACGGAAGGCCATTAAGGACCTCTCAGTATTAAATTCAATTTTTAGTTTTATCCGTCGTAGCGTAGCCTGCAAATATGTCATTTGTATTTCTAAACATTGTCAGCTTCTTCTCTTGACTGAACTAACATCAACCATTTTTGTCATGTAGCGTAAATGGATGAAGGGGTATAAAAAAAGTGAATTTCGTCCTTCCTGCACCCGAGGTTCTATGAATGAGCTAAAAAGCATTAAAACTATTGATGTGTTTAAATATCTCCCTCTTTACTACTGTACAACAAGCAGGTAAGCTAGACAGGGTTGTAATTAGTATTGAACCATCTATCATAAATTTTGAAAATTGTGGTCCATAAATAAGGTTTTTGTGCAAAAATGGTACTCTCTCTGGTTATTAAAATATAAAAGTATATTTATTTAAATAAATATCTCTTCCCCCTAGGCCACTGCCCATATAACAGGTGCACAGTAATGAAGATCAGTGCCCTGGGTCGTCGTTTTGTGGGGTATGGAATTCAAATGAAACAATTTTGAATAAAGTTATATATTATATATGGATTTTACATAAATGTACATACATGGCCTTAAGAAGCATTTTGGGGCGCAATTTCAGATGGGAGGGGACACAAGCGATGAAAAATGCATTGAAATGAATAAAGTGAAAAAACATAAATTATGTACATTTAGGTTTTCTATCATGAATTTATTGGCAAATTATTTTTTTTTTTGCAGAGGTAGGTTGGGATGGGGGGGGGGGTGTCATCGTTCCTTCTGACCTAATATTGTCCAAAGGATTGTTCTATCACTAAAAACCGTTTATCTTTAAAAATTCTTAGGTTTTTAGCCAAAATATATACTTTCAACAGTTTCACTTTAGACTAAAGACATGTATCTAGTTGTCTTAAGATTTTGATAGATGTTAAGATTATCACTAGATATGACAGTTTTGTGAAACAGCTATGGTGCAATCTTAAGATAATTTTCGGTCTTAAGACAGACCTTAGTTATAAGATAGCTTTAAGAAACTGGCCCCTGTATTTTAACAATTTGACAATTCCTTGCATAGCTAGAATTTATTTGAAATGTTCTAAAAGGCATCATAATTTTTTCCCTATGAATTAAATTTGATATTATGATACATTTTTAAAACCTTAACATTTATTTCCATCAATCTATTGATTCAGTATTACATGCATTTATGATAATTGCACACATTAAATTAGAATATTTTTAATAAAAGTATAGAATGAAAAGGCATATCCTTACATTCACTTGAATTAAAAATGATAACTATTTCCTTCCTCACTAATATTACCATTTATTCCTGAAGAAATAGATTCAGAAGCACCAGACTCTGCATTGTGAATCTGATTTACAATTCCAACTAAAGATGTTTGATAATCTTTTCTTCTGAGATTCTTAACAAAAGAAAGACAACAATGACACAATGCTGTAAATGTATTACATTTAGCGTGTACGATATTTGGCCGAAATTCAATTTTTAACAAGTTAGCGTAGATTTGATTTAGCGCTGTCCGAAGTTGCTATTTATAAGAGTTAATGTACAAAACATTTAGCGATGTACTTGAATTAGCGGACTCTGCTTTCCGCAAAAATCGCTAAAAAGATTACACCGCTACATGTAATACGTTTACAGTATATTGTTAACTATAATATTTAAATGTATACTTCATCTGTAAATCAAATACATGTACATCAATCAGTATTTCTGTAATTGTTTTAAGAACTCGTTATAAAGGGAGATAATTTATTGTTGAATTAATAATAGAATTCTTCACGCTTATAAACTATTTTTATTTTTTTTCATTTGCTGGAATACAAGATTTTTTGAAATAAGTTTTATTTTTGGGCTGTCAAACTTCTACAGTGCTTAAGACATGAAAGATCTTGAAATAAAGCAATAACTGTTGAATTACGAACTCCTACCTTTCTTTCTAAAAGTGGAGTACTTTCTTGTTGCTCATCCACGTTGATATCTGTATATATGACATGTCTCTTAGAATTACACATACAAGAATCACACTACAAAAATTCAGCCATTCATTAAAATAATGAAAATATCATACCTTGTGGTTGAACGTTTGATGAGTATCCAATGTGAGAATAATATTTCTTATCACTTTCTGATACACATCGGCATCTTTCAAATTTTACCCTTCTCACCCATTCCTCCTAAAATAAATACATTTATGGAATTGTTATGTGAGCCAAAATCTTTAAGAAAGCTACAATTGTTTGAAAAAAATTCTCTCAATGTTTAAAACAAAAACAATTTTTTTTACTTCATTGCCTTGGATATTTTTAAATGAGATCAATAGAAAAATATCAAGAATAATGTTACAATCTGTCTGCTCCAGAGTCACGAAATAATAGGGATTAATCCGTACGTCGTGGGTTTGAATCCCACTGTGCGACGTAGAGACCAGTTTTTAATATGGGACCATATTTACAGATGTTTCGTATCGTAGTAGGTGCTGGCATGTAAGAGATCCCATATTACTCAATGGTCGTAAGTGCCGAATATAGGGCTACATTTGCAGCACGCTACCTATATGCGGTGGCGTCTCTGTATGAGTGAAAATTTCTCGAGAGTAAGGTTACACAACATACAATATGACAATATCAAAATTGTTTAAGGTATAATGCAAGAGTATTTAAAGTAATATATGATTGATTGTATATTGTTTAACGTCCCTCACGAGAATTTTTCACTCATATGGAGACGCCACCACCTTTCGATGGAGAGCTACAAATTTTGTCCTATACTCGGCACTCAGAGCAATTGAGCAGGGAGGGATCTTTTTCGTGCCTGCACCTACTGTGACACGGGACCTTGGTTTATAAGGTCTCATCCGAAGGACCGACCACCAGGTCCCACAGTGGAACCCGTGACGTAAGGATCGACTCCTTACTTAGCAACTCTAGAGCAGACGCTCTAACCACTGCGCCACGCGGGCGACTTACAGTAACATACGTTTTAGTTTTATGTTATGTTTTGGTTTTTGCTGTTGTTGTTGTGGTTTTTTAAAGATAATTTTCCACATACTGTTCTTTACCTATGAAGGGAGAAAAGAAAATTTTCAAGAGCTGATGAAAAATACATTTTTTTTGAAAAATAGAATAACTTGCAATCCATCGTTAACTTCCTTTGCTTTTGTAGTTATATACCCTTGTAAACTCTATGTCTATAATGTCTCTCGGTTGATTCTATATACAAGAGGATGCTCAATGTAAATGTACGAACACAATTTCTAAATCAAAGCAAGCTTTTGACAAACAAGTTGTTGAAACTATCAACAGTTGTGTTTAAAGTCATCATTTTGAAAATACAGTGTACTATGGTCAATAACCTTTTCAGCAAGTCCAATAACCGCCAAGACTAATGTAGATTGACATTTTTCCTACCAATGATTAGACTATTAAAGATATTTGCAAACTGAATCGTCTACGTATTTTTCTGTTTGTCTGAGCATGACAAGATGCAAACGGAGGATGTGACGGTCGGCATGGAATGTTTATCATTTCTGGCACTTGACCCCACATCTGTTATTTTAGAAATCAATATTTGATCTGCTCCCTGTCTGTATTATCTCAATGGAATTTTGAACTTGATTACTGTTAATTATCGCCATTATACATTACAAAATGCTGCATAATAACATTTTTAAATAATTATCATTATATTTTACATGTTTTAAGCAATAGAATGTAAGCAGTGATTGAAAGACAAACACTTGAAGAATATTAAACATAAAAGAACTTTATCAAAACCTACAATGTATGTTACACAACATAAAAGAACTTTATCAAAACCTACATTGTATGTTACACAGTTAACGTACCTTGAACATTCTTAGGTCAGTGTTTTCTCTGTGTTTTGCCATCGGATGTTCTACAATTGTCAAACTGCCAAATTCATACTTCATTGAGTAAAAAATTGACTTATTTTCGAATGACGTTTTCTCAAGTTAGTGATTCAATTAAGCATATTTTAATGAACATTGAAAGAAATTAAAGAATTAGTATTGTATATCGCCTTTCATTGATAAGAAGAGACACAGAAGTGCATTTTAAAGCACAAAAGATATTTTGATATCAACTGCATCCGCATTACAAATCTTGTATTTTGTCCTCACATTGCGTCATATGTACATCCAATCTCCATATACTGATAACATTCAAAATAAATTCTGGATACTAATTTTATTACATCTCTGAAAAGTTTATTCGATACGGAAGAGTACGTTCTACTCTTATGACAATTTCTAAAACGAGGTAAGTTATTGACAAACAACTTAATGAAACAAGAACATCAACAGTCTCTATTAAAGAAATCATTTCGTGTGTTCATTGGTCGATACAATGGTCTTGTCAGTAAATACAATCCACTATTAAGTCAAATGTTGACTGACTTTTTCATACTAATTCTTAGGCCATTATTTAGACACTGATTTGTCGACGGGTTTTTACGTCACCGATTTCCGAAAGACAGAGAGAAAGGGTACCTTCTTCAAATACGTCTGCCTCTTCCTCGCTTGAGTTTCTACTTTCTTCTTCAAATACGTCTGCCTCTTCATCGCTTGAGTTTCTACTTTCTTCTTCGTTGTCAAAAACCACTAGAAATCATTTTGAAAAGTTTTTGAGTATTTTTTATGGATTATGTTCGGAGTTAATCTTTTGTTCTAATCCAAGGGATTGAAAAAGATTAAATAAGCCATGTGCTATTAACATCAAGAAAACTGTTTTTTCCCTATATTTTTAAATATACATTGTATTCCGGTGAAAATAGTGTACTCACTGACCTGTGTCAGAATCTCTCCTGTCTTCTAATAAACTGGAATAGCGGATTCCATCTGTTAAAAATGATAAAATCATGAGACAACTTTCCTTTATTTAGATTTTTAAAAAAATCTATAGATGTGCATCTATTGCTTAAGATTATTTGAAAAAAATTCAATAATACATTACCATCGTCATTCGTTACGTCGCCATTAATCACCGTGTAAGCATCTGCATATACATAAATTATACATGTTATACTGATATTATATTTTTAAGACATTTTCTAAAGAGGAGGCTCAAGGTTTATAATTGTCACCTGAGAATAATACAACTCTGTAAAGGATTCTCATAAGTATTTAAGCTGATTTGTTTGGTATTTGTTCTTATACTGAATTTGACGACGGAAAGTTCCATTTACCTGATCAAGAAACAGGATTCACGGCGGGCATGCCCAGTCAATAGGGAATGCTAAGTACCTGATTCCATCTCTGGAATTTCCAAGTTAGTGTTTTTATGCTCTCTTCACAAATTTTGTATTTTTCATAATTTTTTTTATAGCTCAGTTTTTTGTCTTCACCTTTTACATATTTCTTGTATTTAGTTAAAAATCATGAATGAGAACTAATAACTTTACTTATTTGCTAGTGCTTATAGACTCCCATGCAATGTAACTTCCTCAATGCAGACTTTAATTCAAACAACACTGCTTCAAAATTTAGCCTTTAGTGTATATGTATGTAGTATTAAATTGTTTAGAACTATACGACCGACAAAGGATAGACAAGGACAGATGATGGACGAAAACAGAAAGCAATGTCACGTGATTGACTCAGATTATCTAACCTGTGAAATTTAGAAATTATAGAAATAGCATTGTATTTTCTTTTAAAGATTATTTTGGAGCATAAGTACCTTTCCGTTTGTAATGCCTGTAGCCAATCAATGCCAAAACAGAAACAGCAACTAAAATTATTCCTACGCTGATGGGTATCCTGCAAGACAAAAACTGTTATCGTAAATCAGTATCATTTTGAAATTAGGAATCCATATGAAAAATCACAGGTGCTTGAGGACAGGACCCCCCCCCCCCCCCCATCAATACAGACCCCCAGGCCTATTAGACTTTTTTCACATAAATTATATATGGAGGACATATTTGTGATATAATCTATCCTATCAATTCAGAAAATTTGCTTAAACTTACATTTTATAAAAATATCTACCCTCTCTATATAGATTTTTATATAGAGAATGTAGGGTAGATTCAATAGAACGTTTGTTTTAGGTATTTTTTCGATTTGCTGGTATAGATCTCATCACAAATGTGGCAATGAAAGATTTTTTATAAGAAAAAAATCGAAAAAGCCCAGGGGTCTATATCGAAGGGGGGGTGTCCTGTCCTCAAGCACCTGTGTGAAAAATGTATCGCATTTTATATGATAACCGAAGTTTTATACAATGGAACATAACCATATGTAGTAGTAGTCCTTTTTTGTGACAATCTCTTCAGTTGCGGAATCTGGTGTGGTACTTCCTGTAGATGTCTCTGTGTTGACAAAACCAGTAGAAAATTCCTGATACTCTTTTTTTATAGAAATATTTTCAACATCTCTAATCACTCGATCATAACACTCGGGGACTGCTCGGAAAGAAAATGCCAAAAGTATAATTGAAAATATCCAAATATATGAAAAAGCGGAGACATGTATCTTCAGTTTTAAGCAAAGATGAGTAAATGATCCAAATTAAGGAGGTCTAAACACTTGATGGGAATGAAAAACAAGTTTTTTTTATATCTTATAAAGAAAATATGTAAGACAACGAAAACAGGTACATGTACATAATCCAGATCGGCAGGGCAATTATTTAATTCAACTTCAGTAATACACCAGTTACCTATACATACATGTACATGTATTTAATATTGAAAATATTAAATAAAATTCCATCATTCTAAAGGTTGGTTTGAATGATCAGCTTAAAAACTGATTGTTAAAAAGTCTTACATTCATACGATTTATTGGAATCATAAACAACTGGACAACTTCTACAGAATCCTTTTTCGTGTTGACTGCCTTGAATAACACCACCTCCTTTGTTAAATTCTGTACACAGCCACACTGAAACATTGCAAATTATATTTCTAGAAGTAAAGATGTACGCACTTTAAGAAAGAGTGTTTATTCGCGAGCCGGGTAATGTATTTTTTATGCAACGGCTCCGACATTAATTTCCGTACTAACAACCAAAGAAAAACATTGTATTGTTTTTAAAATCGATATTTTATTTCACAATGAAATGTTTAAAAAACGAATCATGCATTGTGTAGTTTGTTGGGTATGCCATTATGCAAAATACCCCACGTTTTCAACCCCAGCATACCCAACAAACAAGACAGAGATTCCTTAACTATTTGTCTGGAGTTAATATTCAGTAAAACATACTTACACACAATTTGTTTGATCGGTGCGCAAACCTCATATGTACCGTTAAAAAATCTGTTCACAACACAATGGTATTCAAAAGTAGGGCATTCATTCGGTATCAGGTGACAGGCCTTCCTCAGAGTAGCTATATCATTCTCTATTTGAGTAACTGGACAGTTTTCCACTAACTCCGCTGTTTTTATAACATCGTTGTGACATTGAGAGTCATTCACTCCCTGAATCTAAACAAATTGTATTTCTCTTGACATTTTGTCTTTTTTTTTTTATATAAAAAGGAGTTGAACTGTAATCATTATATATATATATTAAGACAGGATTTTTATGCCCCCTTAAACTAAGTTTCGGGGGTATATAGCTTTTGTCGTGTCCGTCCGTCTGTCTAGCTGTCTGTCTCTCTGTTTGTCCGAAAAAAACTTTAACCTTGCCCATAATGTTTGGTTTAGTAGAGCTATGATTTTCATAGTTCACATGTGTATTCCTTGTGACAAGACCTTTCTTTGGGTACCACTAAATTTGACCTTTTGACCTTGACCTTGGAGTTTGACCCACTCTTTTACACAAAAATTCAAAACTTTTACTTTGGCTATATCTTTTGAACAGTAAATACCATGACATTTATACTTAAGATTTATATTCTTTGTAAAAAGTCCTTTCGTTGGATACCAACAACCATGGCCTTTTGACCTTGACCTTGGAGATTTCTGTCCTTGCGAAAAAAACTTGAACCTTGGTCATAACTTTTGAATGGTAATGGATAGGGCTTATATACTTCACATATGTAATCCTTGTGAGAAGACCCAGAACCAAGAACTTTGACCCTTCAACCTTTGAGTTTGACCTACTTTAAAAAAGCATACCTTGACCATAACTATAAAAGGGTTACGGCTAGTGCTTTCATACTTCACATATTTCATCCTTGTGACAAGACCTTTCTTTGGAAACCACCAAATTTCACCCTTTGACCTTGATCTTGGAGTTTGACCTACTTTTCAAAATTGGTAACCTTAACCATAACTTTTAAAGGGTTAAGGCTAGGGCTTTCGTACTTCACAAATGTATTTTTGTGGCAAAACCTTTCATTAGATACCAATATCCCTGACCTTGACCTTGGAAATGTCCTACTTATGAAAAAACTTTAGATTTTGTCATAACTTTTGAATGCCAAGGGCTAGTAATATCATACTTCACATATGTAATCCTTGTGACAAGACCTTTCATTTGATATCAAGAATTTTGACCCTTTGGCTTTGACCTTGGAGTTAGACTTACTTTTTAAAATCGGTAAGCTTGGCTATAACTTTTGAAGGGTTAGGGCTAGGGCTTCCACACTTCACATATGTATTCTTTTTGGCAAGACCTTTCATTTTATACTAATTGCTTTGTCCTTGGAGATTTCCGTGCTTATGAAAAAAACATAAACCTTGGCCTACTTTCATTTTTCAAATTTTTTTTCTAGTGAGAATACCCTACTTTGGATACCAATATATTAAGTTTGCATACATGTATAAGAAAAGTTTAATCTTCGCTATGTTGCATACGGGGACATCAGTGTTTAACATACACTTCTTGGTTTTTTTTTTAATCTAAGACTAATTAAAGCTTTGATAACTAACCTGCTTCAAAATAAATCCGGCGAATACATAAATAGGAACTTGTTCAACAATCTTCATCAGGCTTCGCCTAGAATCAATCAAATTATTAATAAATCCAGAGTGGAAATGCAAAAAATTAAGTTAGGCTGATTTATATTTCAGTTATTGTATTTACTTAAGACTTTAACAGGGGGCAATACATGTATATATTCAAAAGACACATACTTCCTGATACTTACATGTACTTAAACATGCAATGCCTGTTGTGTGCGCTGAATTAATTTTTATCATTTTTGTGTGATTGACTCATTATATGGTGTGAATTTGTCAATATGTGAAGTGCATATTTAATTAGATCGTGTACTTTCAAAAGCCGGCCATTACGCCTTGTTCATCTTTTTCAAAAGTCTTCATGTGTGGTGCAAACATCTTTACGTGATGTACAATTTCTACCATGGTGGAACTTTTTCCGTTTACATATATAATTAGAAAAAAATCCCATCAATCGGAAATTTAATTTAAGGACTAAGCATTATTATTTCCAAACACAACTTTTTAACTATTGAACACGTCGGTTGACCCCCACATCACATCACTTAATGATAACAGCACATTAAGACAAATGCACATCACATTATAAAAAAAATATTACAAACTGAAAAATGCACATCACATAATAATAAAAGCATATCTTAAATTAAATTTTGCCATTACAAGACATGTATAGTCAAGGCGTTCAATACATAGGCATTATGTTTAAATTAGTATAATTTATGCTGGAATTGTTATACATTATAGAGATTTTGTTAGAATGGTAAACTTTAATATTTATGTATTTAAAAAAAATATATTAAAGCCATTAAACTGATCGCACTATATCTCAAAACAGAACTCATATATAGACTTCTATATATGTAAAAAGAGTATGAAATGTATCAAGAATAGAATTTTGTCCTTTGAAATTAACTTACGAATTTGATGAAACAGAAAATATAAACTTTCCCTTTATGATAAATCCGTACAACTAATTTATTTATTTATAGTGACATGTGTACATTAATTATTTAGTTTACAAACTGTATAAAAAAAAATCAATTAACACCTGGTATCTGAGGTCTATAGGCTTGCACAATTTTTCTTAGTAAGACTAAAAATGAAACATTTTGAAATAACGAACAGTATTCAAGATCAAAAGTCTATAAAACAATAAAAATATGAGCAGAGCAAGCGCGGACCTCAGAAACATCAGAGGTGGGATTAGGTGCCATGGAGGAGTGAGCATCCCCTGCCGACCGGTCACACCCGTGTGCTCCTTGTCATGATCGGAAAATAACGGAAAAATCCGTCGTCAATTCAGTGTATAATCAATGGTCTAACAATTAGTATGTAAAACGTCAGTCAGCATTTGACTCAATGATAAAATTGTATTATTTTGCTAAGAATGTCAATGTATCGACCATAGACCTTACGAAATGATGACTTTAAACGAGACTGCTGATTTTCTTTTTCATCAACTTGTCTTTCAATAATTTATCTCGTTAATGAAATTGTTCATACATAGAGCATACTCTTGCGTATCAAATCAACTGAGATACATAAACTCCGTGTGCAGGTGATGAAGGTATATTGCTGCATAAGTAAGGGAAGTTGACGATGAAAAAATTAAATCATCAGAATTATCATAGGTCCGTGTAACACTTAACAATTAAAATTTCTAAAACGATTTAGAGTTTTAGAATGTTAACATACTAGTTCAAATATCTAACTTTCAAAAACTCAAACTGATTTGGTATAATGAAATTTAACATTTTAGTTCAAAAATCTAAATTTCCAAATTTCCAAATAGGTTTTAGAATTTTGATATTTAAGATTTTTACCTTAAATTTTCAAAATTCAAATTACCAAAAAAGATTTATGGAATTTAAACGTTTGAGTTTTTAGTCTACCATTTGTTCAGAAAGTTTACACTTAACAATCTAAAGTTCGGTAATATTTTTCGTCTTTCGATTATTTGAAATTAGCTTCAAGCTTCTAAAATCCAACTTTGAAACGTTTAAGATTTTTAGAAATTTGGAATTTTGGTTCAAATGTTCAAATTTCTAATAACTTAACACTTTGAGTTTTTAGAATTTTACTTTAAATATCCAAAATTTAAACCAGGTATAGAATTTCATATTTTGGATATTTGAAGTAAACTTCTAAAAACTCAAAATGTACAAACGTGTTTTGGTTATTTAAAAGTTGAGTCTTTAAATCAAAATTCTAAATTTCTAAAAATCTAAAGCGTTTGAAAGTTGGAAGTTTGAAGTAAATTCTAAATAATCAAAAGACGAAAATGTTATCGAATTTTAGATTGTTAAGCGTAAACTTTCTGAACAAACGGTAGATTAAAAGCTCAAAAGTTTAAAATACAAAATGTGTTTTTGGAAATTTGAATTTTGAATATTTAAGGTAAAAATCTTAAAACTCAAAATGTTAAACCTGTTTGGAAAATTGAAATTTTAGATTTTTGAACTGAAATATTAAAATTCAATATACCAAATCAGTTTGAGTTTTTGAAAGTTAGATATTTGAACTAGTATATTAACATTCTTAAACTCTAAATCGTTTTAGAAATTTGAATTGTTAAGTGTTACACGGACCATCATAGAGCTTAGTTGTTAGATTACCATTAACGTCTTTTTCAAGTAAAAATTCCAGATGTGAAACAGGTGTGTTAGACTCTATATCGGTATATATGGTGTCTTAACTCAAGCTCACCAGGATATATCGTATCGACATTGTGAATATCTTTTTAGACCAGAAACAAGTATTTTACTCATGCCCTAATTAAATTTGCAATGTGATCGGACAATACATGTATGTACATAATAAAGACATTTTCTCTTTGAAACTTGAATTACTTTAATCATATTAAAATCAAAGGGTTGTATACGTGCATTCGGAAAACCCTGTTTAGAAAATTTATAATTAGAACAGGTATTTCCAAATTTATAAATAGATTCATTTTTTCCTTCAATTTACAAATAATTATATAGGTGATAAAAGGTGTAAATTATAAACATAATACATGAAGAAAATAACTTACACGTACATAAAATCTAACGTCAGGTACAACTTTATTTCCCCTTTTATCGGTGAGCAGAGGTACACATAAATATGGGAATGGTCGATATATAGATTTAGGCCTAAGGAGCGGCAATGCAAACTTTATAAAAGCATTTAATTTAAAAAATTTAAAGTACAGTTTCCTCCATTTTGCAAATTAAATCATATAATCTTAAGAGTAAAATCTTCTTTATAACATATACTGTTTACAAGTTTGAAAAATAAATAATTAATTATGCTTTAATTATAGACAGATCTTACCTAGCTGTGCACGATGTTATCTCGTTCAACCAGACGCTCGGCTATCTCCGTAAGTCGAGTGTCTGGTGACTATGCACGATGTAACAGAGACAATCCGGGAAAATATATTTCGGTACAAGTCGTGTTTTATTCAATTCACTACAAATATATAAATGAATTTATATATATATATATATATATAAATACATACATATATTTTTATAAACATAGAATATATATAAATTCACTTCGCCAATTATACAAAGTGACAAATATGAGATAGACAAAATAATGTACATGTGTATATCTTAAAATTGCTAATCATTTTTTCATTTTCTTTTCCGTGTTAAAGCACTTTCTTAAGGGGCCCAGACCCTCTGCTATAAATTTGACTTTAGAAACTTTAAAATTTGTAATATTGATTTTCATACTCAACGGTAACATTAGAGTCACATGGAAAATAGTTTGAAGTAAAGAGCGCTGCTTATTTTTTCAGAAATGATATCATGACATGAAGAAATTGAACACGGAGAACGAAAAAGAGTAACAATTTATTATCAACATTAAATTTAAGATATGAGGTGCATATAAAAATAATACTTAGTATCATACCTATTAAAATTCTTTTTGAAAACATCATGAAGCGATGCTTCCTGAGTCAGAAAATCACAATGTTGCATGTGGTTGTAAGAAAAAAATACATCTGTAAGGAGGAGTTATCTTTCTTCTAAATATTTCTTCGTGTGTAAAAAATGATATAATAACAAAAAATGCAGTATGAGGTACTTGAAACATTTAACCAGTTTTAAAATGGTCCTTAAAAAGAAACAACTAATTCAATTTATAAGTCTTTTGAAGTTGGATTTAAATGTTTTATTGTTAAATATGATAAAACAATTTCAAAGAAATTGGCAAAAGAAATAAAAAGCAATGTTTTCATCAGATATTAGATTTCATCAAATTGACTACTCAGAGGTCTCAATAAGGAAACTCTGAGTAAGAAAACTGTGAGTAGTATTCATATTTTGTACTTTGAAAGTTATCTGTCTTATCAGAGGGTCGGTACCCCTTAAGAAACAACATATCCTTCTAGCAGTTGTAATATCTGTAGGATTTACTCTTCCTCCAATGGGATTATCATTTATTAATACATGTTTATGTGTTTACATTAAAAAATCTTTATAATTGCATACTTTGGACAGTAAAGAACAAAATGTTTTTGGGTCCAAAAAATAATTTGCATGAATAGCATAGACGTTTTTCTCTAGGAATAGGGGTTTACTGTATCTACAGCGGATGGACGCTATTCCTAATTTTGTTTAAAGTCATGTTCCGTTAGGTGGCGTTATTGGTCACAGAAAATACAAGTTAAGCGGCAGATTCAAGTTAGATTCAAATTGATGCGGAAGCAGAGAAAACAAACGACTGTCATTTGATAATTAGCAGGTATTGATATATTTTAAGAGATAATTATATTTATAAAGCTTTAGACGTTACTGAATAAGCTTTTTCTGGCTTAAATACAATGATCCAGCGCATTGAAGTGGTAAAATTTACCGTTTGGATGAAACGTTCTGAGTCATGTTTTGAACGTCATGACACGCCCATATTTTTAGAAACGAGAAAGAAATATTCGTCGTAATGTTTTAAGACACCCCACTCTTAGCGACAAGCAACATGAGTTTCACTGAAATGGAGCTTTAAAAAGTTTAGAAGGGAGAGTTAGAGACTCCCGCTTCTGTAAAACACAAATTGCAACGAATATTTGCATATTTTTGAATTGATCATGTCTGTTGAAGTTACCAGAACACATGTTGCGGTCAAACACGTGTTTATTCGGTGTTCATTTAGACTGAAATTTTGATTGGCTATTATATCTATGGAAAACTTGTTCTACAGGTATTCGAATAAATAAGTTGACCGTTTTATCTATTTCTAAAGAAATGGGCGTGTCATCCTATGACAAACAACGTTCTAAACATAGCTCAAAACGTTCCACTCGAACAGAAAATTTTACCACTTCAATCCGCTTCATTGTATTATTTATTACCAAGAAAGCTACCGAGGGAGACAGTAACTTACTAGTTTAAAGCCAGAAAAAACTTGAAAAACTTGAAAGAAAAAGCAGAAAGAACTGTAAGAACCGGTTATCATAAGAGTTTACTGTGTAAGAGTCAAAATAAGCCAGCATCATTTTGATTCATTGTATATAATTTATTAAAGCTAGATAATTACGTAGTCTCAACATTTATCTGTAAATATTGCTTAAAAATATGTTTGTATATTTTGAAACTTCCAGGTCCTCAGAAAGTTAACTGAGGGAATTCAGCCACCTAATCTATTTGTTATTATTAGGTTTCATTCTACAAGTTTTTAGTAGCATAGGTGGGATTATACAATGAGGCGCATTGAAGTGGTAAAATTTTCCGTTTGGATGAAACGTTCTGAGTCATGTTTTGAACGTCAATTATAACGAAATGACACGCCCATATTTTTAGAAACGAGAAAGAAATATTACAGACTCGGGGTTTGCAACCTCACATGCTGTAGATGATGTTGATTAAGTGGATCTAACTATAGCTAGAAGGAAATCTGTGAGATTCGGTGATCGTGTTGACAATGCTACACATGTGTAAGGAATCAAAGAAAGATGAATTCGACCAAAGCCCCTACTTGAAAAAGAATTGGCAGAAGACGACCTGACGAAAACTTGACGACCCAGTTTTCAATGTTACTTTTAGGATGAAGCCAATAGCCTCGTTTCTTAACACAGAAGTCCAGTATGTTTCCAGTAGGCATGATCAAACCCAACAATCTATACTAGCTAGGAGCCGTCAACATTTTCAACACAAAAAACCGGCAACGTACGATGCTACCACGTCATGGCTTGATTATGAAACACATATTGAAACATGAACAAAGCTAGGTAATTGGGACGATATTGAAAAACATATTGAAACATGCATAAAGCTAGGTAATTGGGACGAAACCGAGAAGGAATTGTACTTGTCTGTTTCCCTAAAGGCCCTTTCACAATTGGCGCACGAGCACTTTACAACACTTTGCGATCGGAAAATTTTAGCTTCGCACGAGCTCTCGCCGAGCTCTCGCCGAGCTCTCGCATACGTTGCACGATGTTTCGCATTCGTTGCATGCGTTTTAGTGGTCGCATCAAGTCTCCTCAAAATAGTCGACATGCACACTATTCAGACGCGACCAAATGCGATCCACATTTACCGCAATTCAACGCACGAATATTAGTACGACCGTCTTGCAACGTTTTGTGTACTCGCAAGAGTGATGCACGATTTTTAAAGGTCGTAAAATGAATCGCAACTGTATATGCGTGTGTTGTGCTACCATGAGACTGTTGCTCAACGTGTCTCATGTAATCTTGCAACGTTTTGCTATGCACGATTTATCAGCTTCAATGTCCCATGCTTTGCAACTAGTATATGTAAACCCTGAAGAAGCATCTCTGTTTCAGACCACAATTGACCATGGATACTGCTTCACCAATACAAGCTCAGGCGGATTATGAACAGGGCTCGGCTGCTGCGGCAGGTCCTGAGCCTCCTCCTCCTGGGCCTTTTTCTACGGTTTACCTTGGCTTTACCTGTAGCTTTTGTTATCTTTTTGAAACACATCTCTTGCATTCAACTGACGAGGGTCGGAAACGGGTAGAAAATATATATTCCTTTTCTCACTCCACTCGCACGATCATTCGTACCATGAAACGCATGATTGCACGATCGCCTTACGTCCAGTCGCTTTGGTGCACGTGTAATCGTTCGATCATCTGATCACTCGTGCGATCCTTTCGCATTATCTTACAACACTCGCTTTCATTGTACAACAGTGACATATAGACGCAAGATTTATCGTAAGATTTAATGCACAACGGTCGCTTTAGATCGTGCGAATTTCGTACGAATACTTTTTCATATGCGATTATTTCAGCAACAGTATACGATCCAAATCAAAGTTTTTCGGTTGCACGAATATTTTGTAGCTTCTGCTCGTGCGCCAATTGTGAAAGGCCCTTAAGAGACAGTGCTTAAGATATTCTTAGAAATTTGTCGGATGGTAAAGAAATAAGTTACAAAGAGCTGATATCTGTATTAAGGACATATTTGCTCCACCAGACCAAGTAGATTTATATAGAGCTCAACTGAGAGAGCAGAAAAAGAGAGCGACAAGGAATTTTAATGAGGCTGTAAGAAGTGTAATCAAACAAGACTGAACAAAGATTAGATGGCGTGAATTCATCTTTGAGAGCTATTGAACATGACACACCTACGTTGTAGGGACGAATTAACAATAGAATTGAAAGATGTCAGTTTTACCATATTGGATCTTTAGAAGTTGATAACGTCCATCGTTGAGGAGCTCAAAGAACTTAAACAAAATCTTGATGATCTACAAAAAGACAACTGGACAAAGAAACCTGGATGGCAACAGGGGTCATCTCAAAAAGGAATGTCGCTCAAAACAAAATCGTGAGAATACTAATGCAAACTATCCAGTGCAGAGAGAAACAAAATATTAAGGATTCAGACACATGCAACAGGGTCCTCTAAAGAAAAAGTAGGGATTACTGGGCATGCTGCAGGTATTTTTGTTAAAGCATCTATTGTTGATTGAAACAGGAGCTACGCTGTCTCTTTTGGCTAAACAAACACTTGAAACATATGTAAATGATAGACTTCTCCAAAGCAACAGCTCATTAAAAACTTTAGAGAAAGTCAGCCAGCCAGTGCAAATAGCAAAGAATAGAAAATTGAACTACGCTACTATCAAGGACGCCTAGCCTTTTCCGAGGATAGATGAGTCCAAGGATCATCTTTCAAGATCCTGTTGGCTTTTGACCCTTGATCCCTCATCGGGATATTGGCAAAATGAAATAGATCCCATTGATAGACCAAAGACTTGTGTATTGCAAAGAAGGGTTTATATCAGTTCAAGTTAATGACGTTTGGACTGTGCTATGCTCCGGCGACTTTTAAATGACTCATGGAGATAGTCCTGTGTGGTCTCCAATGGGATATAGTCTTATATATCTCGATGACATTATTTTGTTAGCAAAATCTTTTATATTAAACAGTGGCTAGTGCAGTGGCTAGAGCGTCTGCTCTAGAGTCGAGAAGTAAGGAGTCAATCCTTACGTCGCGGGTACGAATCCCACTGTGGGACGTGGAGACCGGTCCTTCGGATGAGACCGTATAAACCGAGGTCCCGTGTCGCAGTAGGTGCTGGCACGAAAAAGATCCCTCCCTGCTCAAAGGCACTGAGTGCCGAGCATAGGACAAAAAATTTGCAGCTCTCCACCGGCAAGTGATGGCGTCTCCATATGAGTGAAAATTCTCGAGAGGGACGTTAAACAATATACAATCAATCAATCAATATATTAAACGATTTTATATATTATAACAATAAGTATAACTGAAAATGTATTATCATGCAAGTATATAAATTGAAAAACTAGCATTAATCAAGAGAATAATTGTGAACTTAAATTTGAATTAGCTAATTATAAGACCTCGTTAAGTTCTTTTTATGTTACGGTTTTTAAAGACATACTTAAAGAAGTACTTTGACAGGTCCTAGGATTTTGCCCCAAACATACTTATGACCCTACTTAAGTCGGACACCTAGCAAACTTTATGTTACGACCCCCTGGTCATTTTTGACATAAAATATTTAGATTTATTTGTATATACTATATCAAATTAATTTTATACATAACATATGTTAGTATATAATCATAATGACCTTTGGCTCCAGTGTAAATAAACTTTTGAACAATACTTTGTGTAATTAATTGTTATAAAATATAGGTCGTTCTAAGTTTAAGAACTTGTGTCCAATCCTTTTGTTGTAACATCTAAACAATAAAATATGTTCAAACCAAAAGACACTTGTGATTCCCAATTTTCAATTCAAATGGAAAATTTAAAATTTCAATGCGCTTCATAGTATCTTTCGTACAACAGAGACTACAATGCTGAGAAATCGAAAGTAGAGCTAGAACATACACATGATACTAGAGCTGTTAAAAATAAACATTAATCAAAACTGAATATTAAACATTGAGAGAGATAAATTATATTTTCATTGAAATAGTTAATTATATTTCCTGCTTTTACAAAAGTAATTGAATTAAATAATATATTACTCATACAAAGTGTTCTAGAAACAGTTAATGCATATAATTATAGCTAGTCGTCAACAGGACGGAAATCCCATTCCAAGTTATAAACATTATACACATTTAATAATATCTTTAAGAGTTTTCAGCTTCAATATGTTGACAATTTTTAATGCAATAATTGTATTAGTGCTGTGTTCTGTTGATGTTTATACACAACGACAATGTACCGGGTATGATTTTTGCATTCCTGAAATTTAAGAAAAATTTATCGTCATTAATTTTTTATAATATCTGTTTGAATACTTTCCTTTCAGAGACAGAGGCATTGAGTGTTGTGAAGGATATATGTGGAATAATAACACAGGCAACTGTATTAGTAAATGTGAACAGATTTTAAAAAGAATTCAAGAATATGGGGTCTTTTTTATAAAAATTCAAACTTATAGGATGATAGAGTGAGACCCAATATCTGTAGAACTTGCGTATAACACTTAAAATTTCTTTGATTTACCTCTATATCGTTTTAAAATAGCAAGAACAATATAGTTCCATAGGAATATGATAAAACTTAAAAGAATTTTCCGACTCCACATTAATTATAGAAACATAAGCTGGTTTTCTTTTTTCAAGTTCAATATCGGTGAAAATTTAAATGCAAAAAACATATAGCATGTTATCTGATACACTTTATCTCTAATTATTTTTTGGCTCAGATATACTATATATAGCTTAAATTATATCTACTATCAAAAAAATTCATAAATCAATGAATATATTTACATTGATGATAATTTTATCCTCCTTTTATATAATTGAAAAAAAAAATAATTTGAGAAAAAATTATTTAATACCGGCTATTCATCAAATGCTTTTTTAATTCAACCATTAATTCTTTAGGAAAGTTTTAAGCATCTTCCAGAGTAGAGTAAAACACATAATTAAATGAAAAAAAATGAAATAAATTCCAAACAATGTTTAATTTCGATGCATTTTATATGTTATAAAATAATAGAGCATACGGAACTTAATAGATTTAAATAAGGTATGGTTGTAAATATCAAGTATGGAATGTTCATTTTTTAATCAGATGACAAATCTGTTTGTATCGATTGCTTCTATTTCATTACCACTATCAAATTTTACATAATCTTATAAATATTTAAATCTAAACTGATAATTATATTCATAGTACACAAAATTGTTTCCAAAATATATACATTTGTGTATCAACCATCATAAATACTTTCATATCACCTTAACAAAATAGGCTATATAAGTTCTCGAACACCCGATCTACTCATACATATTTAGGCTATCTTGTTTACGCCCCTCGTGTTCATACATGGGAAACAAAATTTAACTTAATGAAAAGGAAAAGGAAATATCAAACATGTTCAATGGATGCATGTAATTTAAATTGCAATTTAACATCGTTTAATTGAATCGAAATTTTAACCTAATAGTGTTATATGTTTTGTACGTGTGCGAGAGAGAGAGAGAGAAGGAAGATTAAATGCATAGCAGTAGATATTATAATCTTTTAATCCACAAATATTTCTTTATATTTAAAGAGTGTCAAACTGGATATCTTGGAAAATCCTGCAGTTTCAAATGTCCATATCCTTCATTTGGGGAGAGTTGCCAAGGAAGATGTGAATGCAAAGAAACATCTTGTGACTTTGCAAAAGGCTGTTCTTCAGGTAAAATCATAGTAGTCATATTATAATTGTCAACATGCCAATGTAATTTGGGGAATGTTTACTCTATAATTTTTTTCTTTGAAATATGAAAATAAAGCAAAAAATTATTTATATTTTAAGAAAATTTTCGATTTTTGAAGGAAAAAAGGAAAAACCCATGACATTATATAAACTTACGTACCTGTTTTCTTGACATTCAAATTAAATAAGAATAATAATCGCATTAGTAATTTTCTCATACGAAAATTGAATGCTTTTCTGAAAATTTTCAACTGTTTTCCAAATATATTGAGCTGAACGTAAATCGACGTCATCGAGTTGACCATATGTTGAATACGAATAATTTGCCAATTCATGCAAGAAAAGAATTTACCCTTGCTGAACATGCCGACCTTGTGAAATCGTGAAGAGTTGACGATTATAACATGTATAATTATTGACTACTCAGCGTTAGAACTGTTGGATTTGGAAAAAAGCATTATTTTAAAATGTATTTGCAATAATTCTTTTTATTTTTTAAATGTTGTGAACAGAAGACACCTGTGAAATTTATCATGTAAAGTTCGCAATTCATAGAGTAAAAACTCGTAATAGAAAAAACTCTTAATGCGGGTTATAAATACTTGTATCATTTCAAATATAGATAACTAACTTCATATTTAATTTGCAGATGTTTATAATGAAGAAAATATCCAAATTTACATATCAACTAATAACAAAATAGCTCTATGGAAAACTGTTACATTTTCATCTGAGATAAATGCTGTTGCAACGGATAAAGGTGAAAAACAAAAGGAGGAATCAACGAAAGAGCTACTCTTTATTTTAGTGTGCGTTAACTCGGTAGTAGTGCTAGCTGCTGTCATTTACATCTTTAAATTTATTGTAAAAAGAGCTCAGACAACGAGAGACAGTCATCATGTATCAAAATCGTTTAAAGATAATGGATGTGTTTACGAGACAGCAGATGATACAGAAAGAAACGTAGCTTATCACGTTATTCCTGATCAGCACTATCGTACTGTTACAGTAAACATCAGTTCTCCTGATCAGGTACAAGGGGATCAAGGTTCTCCTGATAAAAGGAGTTTCGAAGAAAATATGTCAGTGTTAAATTCTGAGGACACAGGTGGTTACCTAATACCTTCCACAATATCGTTGGCGTAACTGTATTTGAAAGGTTTTTCCTTCACAGAGTCGGTGCATTGTGGACTTTAATATGTTATTTTATTGCAACTTTACAATAACAGTTTACGCTTATCAATTTATAACTGATATACAACACACCCCCCCCCCCCCCGTAGTATCATTCAAGTACTTTATTACTATTAAGGGCTGAATTGTAAATTTACCTGTGAATTTATTTTCTTTTGCACAATAAAAACTAAAATAATTGAAACAGTCTTCAAATCTAAGTTTTAGATTTTTTATTTATTTTTGATTTTCGTTTACAATGTTTGTTGCGTATATTTTAGTCAAATTTTCATTGTATTTATACTGAATGATATATCTTTTCTGATAAATCTTTGTAAAATATAAATTATCAATTCTTAATTTACTTTTCTTAACATAACATCTTAACACCACTTGATTCAGATCAGTTGTTGAATACAGAGCCAGCGTCTCTTAATCATTTCCATTCATGTTCATATACTATTGCTGTATGTTTTGTGTAATTAAAATATATCAGGTTCACCTACTCTGTCATAACAATATGCACTCATATTATTGTTATCTTAAATGTCTTAATTTATTTTGATTGATGTTGTTCACTGAAATTGTTAGGCATTTTTTTCACACTGAATTATCTACATTTTCTCGGCTATGACAAATGATCGCACGGCAAGTGTGAGTAGGTCAACTGTTATGGCATGCTTACACCTCAATTGCACCTCATCCTATCTCTGATGTTCCAAAAGTCGTGGTTTGCAGCAGCATCAATTAAGTGTTTACATTGATATAAGAAGCTGATATTTCGATATCAATAAAAAGTAATCCTCATCTATACACAAAATGTTGATTATAGTTCGGGGCATTTGTCCTGAAAATGTTGCAAAAGAGCTTAATTATTGCTTTTACAGTCCTTTTATTGGGTCACAATCATCTGCAGTTGATATTCATTCTAGGAAACTCCACTTTTTTTCTAAACATATCTAATTACTGATGTTGTGCAAAGCTTTGAATACTTTTTTTACTCATGAATTATTCCTTCCTTTCACAAACTTATCTCAAGGAAAGCATGCATCCATGGTGTCTTTTAGGGTGGGTGTGTCTCTGCACCCTATCCATCCTTTATAATGACTGTTCTGTCATTATTTGTTGCGTACGTGCACTGTAACTTCACTAGGGTTACGTGTATCTCGTTTCCTTTATATATCGTTTGTACCGAGATTATCACGGATAAACTCTGATGTCTCTTGCTGCAAAAACGTTTTCAAATGCTTTTGTGATATTTTTACCAGTTATTCCTATCACAGATACTTTGAGAGAGTTTGCCGGCAGTTTAGAAAGTCTATTGCGAACAAAGAGTAGAACTGTGAGAATGCGTCCGGCTTCCCTATTAGCTCTTTCAAATAGTATTCTTTACACTGTTATTATACAGTCATTGTTAGTTTTGTTTTTCTTCAGGAGTTTTTATTTCCATGGATACTACAAGGTAATTAATCAAGCAAGATTTATTCTAATTCATAATTATATAAGTACAATTCTGTAAGCAAAATCTTCAATGTCAAATTATTCTAAAATATCTTGTATTAAATTGTAAAACGTCAATATCTAAAGCACTACTAGTATATAATGGATTTAAAGGCAAATGTTGGGTACAAAAAGATTTTTTTTTATTGTGCAGAAAAATAACTATTGTTAATTAACACATGAATACATTTTACTTTTTATAATGATAAAATTGTTCTGTAGAATGCTATTGATGGAGGGCGATAAACATCCTTATAACAATATTTTAGTTTGATAAAATATTACCACTTACCATTCCGCACGGAATCTTTACAATTTTTGGAAACCATCTCTTGGCTTTGTTTGTTCGCTTTTTCAACCTATGAATCAATGGTAAAATTGAGAAGATTTAAAAAAAAAAAAAGGCAGTGACTGTTAAAATATAAAATATCGTAAATTAATTAATAATTCAATATATCTTCAAATCAAAAGAGACCATTACATCATTTTAAAAAATGGAAATATTTTTACCCTGTGATTGTAGTTTATTTTCTCCCGATCATTACCAAATAGGAGTAAGGATTCCTTTTCAGTTTTTTCTATGAAAAATAATATTTAAGTTAAAATATAATTATTATTTTCTCTTCATACATATACTTTGATATTTCGAAATCAGCACTACTAAAACAAGTAGTTGACATAATACATACTGTACATTTTTTTCAGCTTTTTCGATACATTATTATGCTTCCCAAAACAGTCAAAGCGATGAAGCCCGAAAGCGTCCATGGCAAAACCCTTAGCAAGAGAAATACATTTGTGTTTCAACAGTCAAATAAAAGGCATTAAAATTGATTATAATGAGTCTTAGAAATACTACCAAGGTGTTCCTTGCACCTCAACGCCATTGGAAGAAATTCGAGTTGCACCGAAATTTAATGGAGTAAAGAAAATCAAGTTTTGTTCTTTTGGAGTTGTATGCCCTTTTATTTTGTTTTGAATTGCTGTATCAAAGCATTCTGAAACTAAAATAAAAAAATTCATTATTTAATCATCATGTTATTATTTTTCAAAATAACATTTTCACTTTCCCATGCACTAACACCTCCCTGTTTCTTGAAACCAAAACATTCCTTAATGTCTTTATTGTATAAAGAAAGGAATTGATCTCGTTTTTTACCTACATTTGTATGTTAGATTTGAGGGATATGTAATCGGACATTCCTCGCACTCTCCTTTAGTATGTTTGCTTCCTTGTATAGGTCTTGTTCTTCCTCTATTCAATTCTGCGCATACCCGACCTGAAAATTATATGTAGGATAATATATTTACATTACACCAAATTAAATATATAATAAATGTATTAACTTTATCCGCAAACTCGTTATATACTGGAGTACTTTTAAAAATATGATACGTCTCTGAGACCAAGTCCCTCGTAGTTTGTACTAATACATGTATGATAGGGAAAATTAATAGAATCTGAACCTTTTTAGAGAATATCAATATAAACAATTAAGCATCCTTTTGTTTTCCCAACTTATACCAAGTTTTGTTACAATCAAATCAAAGTTGAGTAGTCATTATTCTAACTCTAACCCTTGCAGCCTAACTCTAACTCTAACCCTAACCGTAACTCTTGTAGCTTAACCCTAACTCTAACCTTAACCTTAACTCTTAAGTTTTCCCTAACCTTAACTCTAACCCTAACCGTAACTCTTGTAGCTTAAACCCTAACTCTTCAATTAACCCTTACCCTAACTCTAACCTTAACCGTAACTCTTGTAGATTAACCTTAATTTATAAGTTAACCTTAACTCTAACCCTAACTGTAGCTCTTGTAGCTTAATCCTAACTCTTCAATTAACCCTAACTCTAACCCTATCCGTAACTCCTGTAGCTTAATTCTAACTCTTAAGTTATCCCTAACCCTAACTCTTGTAACTTAACCCTAACTCTTGAATTAACCCTAACGCTAACTCTAACCTTAACCGTTACCCTTTTCATTTAACTCTAACTCTTAAGTTAACCCTAACCCTAACTCTTAGGTTAACTCTAACCCTAACCGTAGCTCTTGTAGCTTAACCCTTAAATTAACCCTAACGCTAACTCTAATCTTAACTGTAACTCTTTCGGCTTAACCCCAACTCTTAAGTTAACCCTACCACTAACTCTAACCCTAACCGTAACTCTTGATAGTCCCAACTCTTACGTTAACCCTAACCTTAACTCTAAACTTAACCGTTACTCTTTTAGCTTAACTCTAACTCTTAAGTTAACCCTACCACTACCTCTAACCCTAACCGTAACTCTTGTAGCTTAATCCTAACTATTAAGTTAACCGTAACTCTTACCCTAACCGTACCTCTTGTAGCTTAACCCTAACTTTTAAGCTAACCCTAACCCTAACTCTAATTCTAACCGTAACTCTTGTAGCTTAACCCTAAATCTTTAAGTAACCCTAATCCTACTCTAACCTTAATGTAACTCTTGTATCTTACCCCTATCTCAACATATATCAAGTTATGTTACAATCAAATCAAAGCTGAAACAGCAAGAGTATTATTTTCAATTATTTCTTTTTTTTAGTAGCGTCGCCGGCATGGAACAGTGCTAAGAGCGTCTGCTGCAGAGTCGCGAAGTAAGCTACTGTAGATCACTAAATTTTCGCGACACCTTATTTTCGCGAGATGGTCATTGACTCTTTATTAGCGAGACATAATTTTCACGAATTGTTGTTTTTCCTCTATATAATCGTAAGGAATACTTTTAAACGCGAGAATGAAATTTTCGCGACCTCATTGTCTCGCGTAAATACGCGAAAATAAAGTTCTCGCGAATAAAATGTGATTTACAGTATTTCATACAGTTTCTTGTACTTAGAAAAAATCAATTATGCTTAACAACAAGATAAACATATATGATAAATTGATAATTAACTAATCAAAGTTACCTATAATTATAGAGACAGGTGCGCATATTTCTACAAGCTTGTCCATTAAGGGGTTGACAACACAGTGATAGTGAAGATCACATCCTTCTTTCACTTTTTCACAGTTCCGTATTTCTTTTCTCCTCTCATATTCCGTTTTGTTCCGAGGACAGTCAGCCACGACCCTCTTTGTCGATTTTGTGATGTGAGCACAGTCATTCTTCGCCTGGTAATGTTAAAGAGGTTCTTTTTAATTTGTAGGTCACTTTGAAACAGTTCAAAATAAATTAATGTAATGTTTGAGTTAGTTGCTTAAAATTACAGTCTCTCTGAAAGCTCTTGTTTAAAAAAAAATATGTAAGCGTAGATTATACCTTTCCTTGCAGTGGAGACAAAAGAATTGATACAATCAATGAAAATGTAATGATAGGCTCCATTTTTTCAATGAAAAATCATCTATGTCTACAAAAAAAATCAATAAATTATATATTTTGAAAAAGAGAAATACATGAAGTAAATAACGAGTTTAAATGAATTGGTCGCGGTTAAGTGATGAAATCCTGTGAAGGCTGGTGGTCTTTAAGTAGATATAATCAGTGGACTTTTGCGAGGAGTGCTGCTCTTAC